ATGGTGGTACCCGCCTGTAATCCAGCCACTCGGGAGGCCAAGGCACGAGAATTGCTTGAGCCTGGAAGATGAACGTCCCAGTAAGCCAAGATTGTGTCACTGTACTCCGGCCTGGGTGACACAGCAAGTCTCTGTCTCAAGAACAAACAAAACCAAAATCTCTTTTGTGACTTTTTTTTTTCCAATACAGAAAGAGCATCTTTACTCATTTTTTAGCTTTTATAGTAGTATTCCATCGCAGGAACCATTTAATAAGTCTGGGACACCTGGATTTTTCTTTTTCTATTCTGAACAAACATAATTTTATATGAAATAAAACTTTACAGTAAATTCCTAGAAGTGGAACTGCTGAAGTTTATATATCTGTAATTTTCACAAACGTTGTCAAATTTCCTCCACAGAGGTTGTGATCATATATATCCTACTTCTAACTGCAGTGAGTGCATAAAGACTGCTTACTTCCCATCATCCTCAAATAGTATGCTATTTTAGCATTTCATTTTGAATTTTTTTTTGGCTTATCTGAAAAGTGAAAAACCAGTATCAACATGTAGAATTAATGCGACATTCCTCTTACAATGAGTGAGGTGCTTAAGCATTAAATAAACTTAGGCTTATTTGACTTTCTGTGAAAAGACTTCATAATCTTTGCCTATTTTCTACAGTTATTGGTCTTTTGGCAATTTCTAGCAACTCTTTCACATAGAATATTTACAAAAACTGACGATATACTTTGCTTTAAAGCAAATCTCAACAAGTAGTAACAGAGAATGTTCTGATCACAATTCAAGATCCAATTATCACACTTATGAACTACAAGAAAATCACAAAAGGTATTTATAAAATTCAGTATTCATGATATAAAAAATTTTTAATGACAGAAGTAGAAGGTAAATTCCTTATGATTAAGATACCAAAACTGTAGAGGAGGGATGGGCAAATTTTTACTAAAAGGGCCAGATAGTAAATATTGAGGCTTTGAGGACATTACAGTCTCTGTCACAACTATTCAAACATACTGTTGTATCATGAAAGCAGCCATGGACCATATGTAAGTGAATAAGCATGGCTATGTTCCAATAAAATTTTATTTAGGCCAGACGTCAATCCCTGTTATATATCAATAATCATACTGCATGATAAACTGCTCAAAGCATCCCCTTTGCAATTAGAAACGAGACAAGATACCAACTATAACTACTTTTATTCAACATTACACAGTAATCCTAGCTGAAGAATTAAGACAAAAAATTTAAAAATACATTATAGTAGTATAAGTAGATAAATGTGGTATTTATAGGCAGAAAATTGGAGATAATATAGAAATTAAAATAAGAGAATTCAGCCGGGCACAGTGGCTCATGCCTGTAATCCTAGCGGATGGATCACTTGAGGCCAGGAGTTCAAGACTAGCCTGGTCAACATGGTGAAACCCCCATCTCTACAAAAAAATTAAACAAAATAAATAAGAGAATTCAACTAAGTTGCTAGCTATAACACCACTATATAAAAATCAACATTTCCATCCCCCAACAACAAGTAAAAAGTGTTATTAAAAATACCATTTAAAGTAGCAATAAAAACTAAAGGATACTTGGGAAGAAACAAGTGTAACAAAAGATGTCAATTATCTTTCTGGAGAATACACAAAGTTTACTAAAAACTTTAAAAAGATTAATGAAGTGAAATACCACATTCATAGGTCCTATTTCTTGTGCATATTTTCAATGTGTGTCAAAACGGTATCATCTGCCTCCAAACAAATGTATAAATACAATAAAGTTCTAACCAAAATCCCAATATGATTTTGTGTGGAGCTTAACAAGATGGTATTAAAATTTATATGGAAAAACGAAGAACCATATATGGTCAAAACAATTTTTTTTTTAGACAGAGTTTCACTTTGTCACCCAGGCTGGAGTGCAGTGGTACAATCTTGGATCACTGCAACTACCACCTCCCAGGTTCGAGTAATTCTCCTGTTTCAATCTCCCGAGTAGCTGAGACTACAGGTCCCCAGCACCACACCCAGCTAATGTTTGTATTTTTAGTAAAGATGGGGTTTCACCATATCGGTCTGGCTGGTCTCAAATTCCTGACCTCAGGTGATGCACGAACTCCCAAAGTGCTGGGATTACAGGCGTGAGCCACCAGGTCTCGCCAGTCAAAACAATGTTTAAAAAGAACAGAGGTAAGATGATTTGCCATGGACATTGACAAAAAATCTCATACCATGACTTTTTATAACAGTTTTATTAAGATATACATTCATATACCATACAATTGACCCATTTGACATGTACAATGGTTTTATTATTTCGCAGAATTGTGTAACTACCACTACGTTCAATTTTAGAGTATTTTCATTACCTCAAAAAGAAATCCCATAGTCACTTAGCTTCTAATACTCCCATCCTCTCCACTCCAAGACAACCACTAATCAATCTACCTTCTGCCTCTAGACATTTGCCTGTTTTGGACATTTCATATAAATTGAATCATAATATAAGGTCATTTAATATAATGTTTTCAAGGTTCATTCATGTTGTGGACAACTTAATTTTAAAGTCATTAAGATAGTATAATACTAGCAAGAGGTTGAAACAAATCACAGGAAAATTCTTTTTATACATAACTATACAAATACAGAAATTGATATGTCACATCAAGTTTGGCTGAATTAAAGAACTATACGAGAGAAGCAAAACCCCACAACTTTAAAAATAACGATAATATTTCATGGCCTCAGGGCAAAATATTTCATATACAAAAACCAAAAACAGTACTCCATAAAGAGAAATTAATAAATCTGCCAACTTAAAATAGGCCTTTATTTATCAAAAGACACCAAAAACAATGGAATGACAGGTTACAATGTGTTAGAAACTATTTGGAATGTATGCAGCAGATCTAGAATTAATTCCAGATTATATATACAATTTCTACAAATCAAAAGAAAAAGTCTAACAGGAAAACAAACCAACAAAGGAACATACAATCCACAGGAGAGGAAAACAAAGGAGCACAAAGATATGAAAATGCTCCATTTGCTACTAATTAAGGAAATGTGAACTAAGGCCACAGTGAGATACCATTACCACCAAATTACTAAAAAATTTAAAAGTCTGACCACAAATGTTGGCAAGGATATGAAACAAAGAGAACTCATCTGCCGAGGATAGAGTAAACTTGGGAGGATAATTCGGTATTATCTAGTAAGTTGAAAACATTCCCTACCAAGCAACATTAGCACTTCCAGGTAATTCCTGGCTAATTTTTTATTTTATGTAGATGGAGTCTCACCACATTTGCCCAGGCTAGTCTTAAACTCCTGGGCTTAAGTGATCCTCCTGCCTCAGCCTCCCAACGTACTGAGATTACAAGCCTGAGAAACTACACCTGGGCACATTTCCTAACTCTTTAAACACAACCGAGCAGGGTGGGCACAGTGTCTCACACCTGTAATCCCAGAACTTTGGGGATGTTCAAGACCAACCTGGCTGACATTGTGAAACCCCATCTCTACTAAAAATACAAAAAAATTAGCCGCACATGGTGGCATGCAACTGTAATTCCAGCTACTCAAGAGGCTGAGGCAGGAGAATCACTTGAACCCAGGAGGTGGAGGTTGCAGTGAGCCAAGACCATGCCACTGCACTCCAGCCTGGGTAACAGAGCAAGACTCTGTCTCAAACAAACAAACAAACAAACAAATAAATAAGTAAATAAAATAGAGCAAACACTTCAAATTTATGTTAGAAAATAATGTTTTGATTATCAGAAGTTTTATAAAAGTTATTCAAAACTGGGCAAAATTAACCTCCATGTTATTATATTCAGAACAGTAAATAAAATAAGGTTAAAAAAATCTGAGTATTAACTTCATAATTATTTCTAAAAACACCACAATGAACACATTCCTGAAATAATTGTTTTTCAGGGAGAGTAGTCTATAAACAACAAAATGTGTGCTACAAAAAACTATTTAATTCATATAACTTGTTCATTATTTCCAAACTGTAAGTAAATCTAAATATACAAAGGAGATACTACAGCTATACAGCTTCAAAATACAATGGTAGATTGTATTCTGACAAAATACATGTCAAAATTATATTTTAAGTTATAGCAAATGTCTTCTTACTTCCTTAGGCTATTTTTTTGGTTCACATAAAAATATTTTCCAACCAATTCTACTGCTGAGACTATTTAGGCCTCACCCCAAATTTCTCTCTATTTATTTTCTACCAATCTCAAACAGTAAAGAATAAAAGTGTTCCACAGCCTAGAAGTTGGCTCCAACATTAGAAAATTTTTAATATTTACTGCCCTTTCCCCCTTTTGGCGGGGGAAGCAGCAACCCTTAAACATCCATCCAGAACTATTTCTTTTATTAATGTGGTTTGCTACTCTCTGAACCCTCAGCTGTACCGCTGCTGTACTTATCACCTCCAGCAAACACAAACTATAACTGATTTTGAATACCAATTTCTATGCAGTAAAGAATAGATCCTTATAAAATTCAAATCCTGACAAATAAGCAAATGATATACTATCACCCTATACTGTAGCTAAACTTTATCTCCAATGGGTAAACCCATTTCACTTACATATGCATTTTGAATTAAACCTAGTGCCTTTATAAAAGAGATTCCAAGAGAAATTTTAAAAAACCACCTAGAAAGCACATCATCTCTTGAGCTCTGGAAGCTGTGTTTACCCAATACTTTCCAAACTCATAGTCTCTTCTGATAAACATAAATATCTCCTGCTTACATTTAACATTGTTACCCAGACATAAACTATTATAATATTGAACATGATTTTTTCCAAATCACACAGCTTTCCCAGATTCTGATACCTGCCCTGTTTGAGAGCTGCTGTATTTAAGATGAAGATTTAACTACTAAAAACAGCATATTTCTAAATGCTTTCAAAGAACTGTAACTCTATATACTGAAAAATATAAATGTGAGATAATATAAAATGAATCAACTTACACATATAACATGTTCGTATCCAAGTCAATGCAAACAACATCTTGTGGTGGGTCATGAAGATCAAAATACCTTGAGTCAACTCCAACTATAAATGGTAAAGGTGCACTAAGCACTGCAGCCAGTGAAAGAGGACAAAGGGGAATATATGGGCATTGCCACTGAAATGGAAAGATCATCTGGGAAAAAAGTTTTAAAAAATTAACCAAGTTTTAAATTTGCAATAGAAATTATATAAGTAACTAATATACTAAAGCGGGACCACTGAAAAACAGTTAAGTCTGTTTTGTTTACCTTAAACTTCATTCCAAAACCAAATGACTATAAAATACTACTAAGCAACACTATGAACAAATGTAATTAAAATTTTCAAGCCATGGCAATGATCATAAGCACAACAGAAATACTAACAGCTCTTTGCCCGTTAACTTTTCTAATATCTATACAAAGCCCACATTCCAATTTTATGGAGAGTCAAAATATGATAAAATGACCCAAAATATCATAAAACAAACTTATGATCTTTAACTCTTACATGCTGCATTCACCTATTAATTCTCAAAATTACCTCAGATCAAAATCCAACTAAAAGCATCAAGGATTAAAAAAAAAAACAAAACAAAAAGCTACTGATTTTTCTGAGAATGCTAACAGCTTATTAAAGATCTCAACAAAAAAATTCCTAACTGTTCAAATAAACATCAGTGATGTTTGACATCTTAAAAAACAGTCAATAGGCTGGCACAGTGGCTTGCACACCTGTAATCCCAACACTTTGCGAAGCCAAGGTGGGCAGATCACTTGAGGTCAGGAGTTCAAGACCAGCCTGGCTAACATGGTGAAACCCGTCTCTACTAAAATTAAAAATTAGCTCGGTGTGGTGGCGCACACCTGTAATCCCAGCTACTTGGGAGGCTGAGGCAGGAGAATAGCTTGAACCCAGAAGGCAGAGGTTGCAGTGAGCCAAGTTCATGCCACTGCACTCCAGCCTGGGTGACAGAGCAAGATTCTGTCTCCAAAAAAAAAAAAAAAAAAAAAATACAGTCAATATAAAACATTCCTCGGCTGGGCGCGGTGGCTCAAGCCTGTAATCCCGGCACTTTGGGAGGCCGAGGCGGGTGGATCATGAGGTCAACAGATCGATACCATCCTGGTCCACATGGTGAAACCCCATCTCTACTAAAAATACAAAAAATTAGCTGGGCATGGTGGCACGTGCCAGTAATCCCAGCTACTCGGGAGGCTGAGGCAGAATTGCCTGAACCCAGGAGGCAGAGGTTGTGGTGAGCCAAGATCACGCCATTGCACTCCAGCCTGGGTAACAAGAGTGAAACTCCGTCTCAAAAAAAAAAAAAAATTCCTCTATTCAGACATGATGAGATAGAAAAAGAAAAAAAAAGAGAAAAGAAGAATTCCTCAAGAATATTTACTTGTTTTCCTTTATAAAACTTGAATGCATCATTTGTGCTTTTTTTATTTAAAAAAGGCAAGTTTTTGATGTTTTTAAAAAAAGAATTTAAAATGTTAAGGCAAAATGCAGTGACTCCCAACACTCTGGGAGGCTGAAGCAGGAGGACTCCTTGAGGCCAGGAGTCCAAGATCAGCCTGAACAACAGAATGTGACTATCTCCATTAAAAAAATAAATAAACAAATTTTAGGAAAAAAAACTTTAATAATTACCAAGTCACTAAAATTTTACTGGTAATATTTTTCTTCTACTATAAAAATCCTTGTTATCTTTCAAGGTCTAGTTCAATTCTCACCCATATCCATCATTACTCACCCCAAAGAAATGCCTATAACACTTACTACCTTTGCCAGCTATTGCAGAGGGTTATTCAGGATTGGAATTTTGTCTTCAAACATTTATTCACTTAATATTTGGGCCCCTGCCATGTACCAATCACTGTTGTACATAATGGAAGCTTAACAATAAATGGAACAGATCACTGTCTTCATGAGATTTATAGTTTAGGATAAGAGTTCAGGATACAGCAACTTTTTCTGTAAAAATTCAGTAAATATTTTAGGCCCCGTGAGCCATATTGTCTCTGTCTCAACTATTTAACTCTTCTGTCATGCATGAAAGCAGTCATAGGCAAGATATGAATAAATGGCCTATGTTCCAATAAAACCTTGTAGAAATCAGTGGAAGGCAGGATTTGGCAGGCAGGATCCAGCCATCATTTGCAAACACCTTGTCTAGCAGGAAGAGAGAGAAAAAAAGAAAAACATAATAAATAAAATATTATACTATAGGCTGAGCATCCCTAATTTAAAATCCAAAATCCAAAGTGCTCCAAAATCCAAAACTTTTTGAGTACAGACATGATGCTAAAAAGAAATTGCTCATAGAAGCATTTAGGACTTCGGATTCTCAGATTAGGGATGTTCAACCAGTGTGTATTCTACAAATATGGCAAAATCCAAAAGAAAAAAAATCCTAAATCCAAAGCACTTTTTTCCAAGCATTTTGCATAAAGGATATTCAACCTATATGTCAGGAAATGATAAGTGCTATGGAAAAAAAAAAAAAAAGGAAAGGAAAGCCAAGTGAAGGACATTAGCGTTCAGAGCAGGAGAGAGGAAAAGCAGGTTGTATGAGAACAAACAGGACAGGCCTCATTACTAAAGTGACAACAGAACTAAAACCTGAAGAAGGTGAGAGATTTAGCCAAGGGGATATATAGGAGAAGAGTGCTTTAATGAAAAGGAACAGCTAGGGCAAAGGCCTTAAACAATGGGGAATGCCTAATGTTCCCAGGATGGTGAGGAGAAGAGTGAGCAAGAGGAAGAGTAGTGGAAAATGAGATCAGATTGCTGAGGAGCAGAGCCACTCACAAAGGAACTTGCAAGGACTTCAGATTTCCTTGAGTGACAATTAACTTCTATTCAACAAAAGGTATCTAAGAAACCTTAGAAAAAAAGTTATGTGTTAGCAAAATACGATATCCTTCTCTTCACCTTTGCCTTTTCCAACACTACAGGGTCACTTTTTATAATGCTCTCGTACATTTCATCAATCTTTGCTATGGGTCTCCATTAATTCTTTGATATTCTTTGATATTTAAATCATTCTCCTTTTGAAGTATTTGTTTTGTCACCATTCTTTTCAATGTTCTCTTCTTCAAATGGTAACCGGCGTAACTACCAATCATGACCCATAAATGATTTTGCATGCAATTCAGACAGCTCTCCAACATCAGTTACATAAACCTAATATACTCTGGATTTTTCATAAAAGTACCAATTCCATGTAGCACTTTTTTCAGCTGTTCTTGCACCATATTACTGAAATCCATCAACAGACTAGGGTATCATGATCCTGACAAAGGGGCTTGAATAAACACTAATGTTTTATTTAGTAAGAAATATTTGGGTGGGAACTTCCTTTTTTTTTTTAGACAGAGTCTTCGGCTCACTGCAACCTCCACCTCCCATGTTCAAGCGATTCTCTTGCCTCAGCCTCCTGAGTAGCTGGGACTACAGGTGCCCACCATGATGCCCAGCTAAGTTTTGTATTTTTAGTAGAGATGATGTTTCACCATGTTGGCCAGGATGGTCTCAATCTCTTGACCTCATGATCCACCCGCCTCAGCCTCCTAAAGTGCTGGGAATACAGGCATGAGCCATCACCCCCCAGCCTGGGTGGGAACTTTCTTAAATGTGTTCATTAACAAATATTTTAATATTCTAACAACTTTTGCTTTCGCATACAACTGTGATGACTTAGAAAAGTAACACTTAATGAGGATCCTCCTATAAGCTGTCTCTTATGGTTATTATTATTTTCAGTCCTAACAGCATTTCTCCAACCAGATTAAGATCTTGGAGACATACCTCATTTGTTGTTTTAACAAGTATTTATCAAGGGCCTATTCGGTGCTAAGCAACTATAACAAGTGGTGAGAATACAGGAGTAAACAAGAGATCAGGTCCTTATTCCTAAGAGACTTACATTCTTAAAATGGGAAAGGGAAGAGAACAGAGCCAACTATTTTAAATGAAACAACTAATGGGTGATAGGGTTGGAGAAGTGGAACATCTAAAGTTCTATACGATGGCCTATAATGCCCTATATATTCAGACTTCATTCTTTTGGGGGGGGGGAGCGGGGAGATGGAGTTTCGCTCTTGTTGCCTGGGCTGGAGTGTAATGGCACAATCTCAGCTTGATTCTCTTGTCTCATGTCTCCTGAGTAGCTGAGATTGCAGGCACGTGCCACCACACCCAGCTAATTTTGTATTTTTAGTAGAGATGGGGTTTCTCCATCTTGGTCAGGCTGGTCTCAAACTCCCAACCTCAGGTGATCTGCCTGCCTAGGCCTCCAAAAGTGCTAGGATTACAGGCGTGAGCCACCATGTCCAGCAATACAGACTTCCTTCTAAGTGCAATGGGAAGCCAAAGGGTTTTAAGCAGGGAACAACTTCAATTTTTACCAATTTAACAATTTAATTTTCATTTATTATGCTTTACAAAAGAGCTAAGCCTCTGTATATTATCCTATTTCACAATCACTTAGAATTTCCTATATATTACTGATTCACAATTATTAAAAGTTAAAATGGGGAGAAATTAACTATGTAATCATTTGCCTAATTTTAGAACAGCTGAAACTGGTCAGAGCCTCTCAATACAAGCAGCTTCATTCTCAGGCTTTATTACACAAGCATATAGTTTTTACTCTGGGAAGAACTCTAAAATATGAACAACTGGAAATTGACATTTTTCCTCAGATAGAAATAACATTTGTTTTCTTTATATTTCCTATTTCTCTTTGCTAGCAGATTATGTTCAACTTTTACTGGGCCAGTAATTTTTCAAAGTTGCTTTTCAAAAATGTGTTGTTGCTTACAAAGTTGCTATTTTTGAAGGAAATTTCCTTCTGGAGTAAAAATTACCTGTCAGTAATTTTGTTCTAAAAGGAAAATTCTATACTTACAGCTACAACCGCTTCAGCAACCCCAGTCAAGACTGCTGGCCTAAGAGAATGCAGCAGAATTTTACTCTCAAGTAAAACAAAGAGCAGCAGTGTTGCACAATTCTCAGGACCCAGATTCATTAGCAAGGTGCTAAAGTTGGCTCCACTAGGAAAAAAAAAAAGAGAAGAAGAGATCATTGTGAACTATTTTGCTAAAACATGTTAAGATTTGCTTATTGAGAGTCTAGAGTTAATTTCAAGTCTACTTATTTATCAATGAAAAGTAGCAAATTCAATAAGATAGTATAACTGGGTCATTTAAACTAATCCTCTAGTAACAAAAGGCATTTATCAAAAAAGATTTCCCTGAATAGGGCCGGGCGCGGTGGCTCACGCCTGTAATCCCAGCACTTTGGGAGGCCGAGGCAGGTGGATCATAAGGTCAAGAGATCGAGACCACCTGGTCAACATGGTGAAACCCCATCTCTACTAAAAATACAAAAAATTAGCTGGGCATGGTGGCACGTGCCTGTAATCCCAGCTACTCAGGAGGCTGAGGCAGGAGAATTGCTTGAACTCAGGAGGTGGAGGTTGCGGTGAGCCGAGATTGCGCCATTGCAGTCCAGCCTGGGTAACCAGAGCGAAACTCCGTCTCAAAAAAAAAAAAAAAAAAAAAAAAAAAAAAAGATTTCCCTGAATAGCCATTTGAGTTGAGCTCAGAAGAATGGAAATAAAGATGGGAGTAAAGCGGTGACAGACAGTATAAGCAAGGGCCCTGGGGCAAGAAAAAACTGTTGTCATAGCCAATAAGTTGAAATAAATCTATTGTGACTAAAGCATAGTAAGGGAAAGGGTGAAAACACTGAAACTGAAATGATACTATTATATTTGCATTTTCAAAAGGACACACTGGCTACAAGGTGGATAAAGAACTGAAGAAAGATGAGGAAAAAGGTACCAAATAAGAGCCTAATAGTGAATTAGTCTGGTAAGACAACATGCACACCTAGTGTGATGCAGATGAAAAGAAGTAAATGGATTCAAGATATTTAGAAGGTTAAAATCAGTTCACCTTGAACATTTAGTCATGAACTAGACATGGGAAGGAAAGATGAGAAGAAAAGGGAAGTAACCGCTATGTGCAATCTTGCAACTCTCTTAACTGTTCCCATTTATAAAATAGCCCCAACCATCCACCCAGCTATCAAAGTCAGAAACATTAAGGCTATTTGTACCTAGTTTGTAAAATAACAATTAACTTCATTATACTAATCACTAAAATATTTTAAAGCATTCTGCTCCAAGTGAATAAATATATCATTTTAAATAGCAGTAATTACCTTAGTGGTAAAGGTGTAGAAACTGGCTGTGATAATATTAATGCATCGTGAACTGACAGCTTAAAAAAAAAAACATAAAGGTATATTAACCAAACCAAGAGATAAATTTCAAAACTGCTTTTGAAATCTATATATTTAGATCAAAGGTAACACTGAAAACATTAGTAATTTAATATGCAGATACACTTTTTGAAATGTACTAAAATATAAAATAATAGCAGTATTTACTAAGCAGTATTATATTAGTTATTTCTCAGAATTTGATTTGACAGAATTTTGATTCACTTAATTGGTTAAGATACAATCATTTAAAATTTATGAAATCATTGCTTTTGAAAACCCTCAAATTCAATTTTGCTCAACAGACTATAGGCACTTAGCAATTGCTTGGCACATTAATACTAGTGGAACTGAAATAACATTTAAGATCAACAATATCTGACTTAATCCTACCATTTATAATGTTAAGAATGTCTTAGAAAAACTTTTAAATGGCTTCCCTCTATCGACCAGTGCAACTCAAAGTATGTTAAGTATGCCGGTATATTAATTCTCACAATCCATAAAGATATAGTATATAAATGAAGAGCAAAACATTAAGCAACTTTTATGACAATTTGACCTCTCTCCCATATCCAAGCATGTGATCAGTGGAACTATTACTACAGAGAGGGTATAGACCTGTTCATGTTGCATATGTGACAGCTGTATATGCATATGTCACAACCTATGTCTACTACTTACTGAAAATAAAAAGAAACTGGTCCTTTAGCGTAGTACTATTATAGACCTTGTTTAAGTTAACCTCCTCCGACCATTGCTCAAACATGCCCAAACATAATCCTGGGTTTAAAATTAGCTACATAAAGGCCATGCATGGGCCAAAGATGAAAATGTTAGGAACCAAGGATTGTAATTATTCCAGTTCTGTACACTCATATCCAGAATCCAGTAAGAAAGGATGATCAGTAAAACTACAAAGCACAGAAAATCCAAGGACTTTGCAAATGCATACTGCTCCACCCCAAACCCAAATGTATATAAAATCTACTCTGCAATGACTGGAGAGAACATATGCAAAGTTCTCCCCAAATAGACTCTTTCTTGCTTACCTGGACAAGGATTCTCGGTCTTTGTGGTGAAGGAAAAGGGATGTTTTGTATAAAATGTGAAATGTGCCTAGAAAAAAAAATTGAAATAAATATCACAATTACTTTTCTAAAATGCATCACAGGTTTTAACAAATCTTAAGTCTCACCATATATCATCCCAGATATGACATAGCCATCTATAATGTATGCAAAGTAAGTAAAGTTGCTTAGTGTAAATGAATGTATCCATGCCCACTAAACTTCTGAAACACACAATGTATTTCCTGACTCAAAGTCTGTATTTATATCCCCTATAATTATCAGATAAATAAAAATAACACAAAAATAGTTTTCATGAAAGTAAATTTTTATAGCCCTGGTTATCAGTGCCAGTACAGGGAACAACTAACTGTGATATAATGAATTTACACTAAAATTGAATTTAATCCCAGATTTACTATTCTAACTTTCGAAGAACTACCTAACCGTTCTATTTCTGCACCTACAAAAATTGCTTCTTAAGTTTCTTCAAAGTTTGAAGCTCTTAGGAGCCACAAAAATGCAACCTATTACTTCAACTGAAAAAAAAATTGATTACATACATTGATTGTATTTTCACAAGCAATTCATAGAATCTTAATTTTTCAAAAGGTTGCTAAATTATCACTAACATTAAATTTTACTTCAAAAAACTTTAGTCTGACAGCTGAAAGTTAAACCCGGAACTATAAATCATTCAATTGCCATTTCAAGAGTACAAAATGAAAGTTGCCACCATATTTCAATATCAAAAGTGTGATGAGTTTATACACAGTACTCTTTTTAAAGCTGATTTTTGGACAGCATTATTTTTAAACCTTCACATAACTACCCCTACCTTATCCACTAAACTAGTATGTTTCACTGATATTCTTTCTGCTATAATGTAAAAGTTCTGAAATTATAAGAAACATCTATGTTTACACATACTTTAATACATTACAGAAAGCTCTTGACACTTTGGTTTGTTAGCCGAATACATATATTATAAATTAACATAAACAGAAGTGAATGTGCCACTAGAAATCAGAAAAGATGGTTTAAAAAAGAGTAGCTCAACATACATTTTTCTTGCTCACAAAAGATTTCCATGACAAAACAGACAAACTGAAGAAAAAGCTCAAAGAATTCTGTCAATGCTAAAACCAAAACCTCACTTTTAACATCAGTCAACTCATGCTTACTCATTTCTATATCACTTTAGAGAGGTATTATGGTTAGAATTTATAGTGGCCACTTGGATGAGTGGGTGAGTGGGTGCGTGTGTGTGTGTGTGTATCTGTAACTATTTATCTTTTGGTTATTAGAAGATAAACCGAAAGAACAACTCACAACATAATTTATATGAGTTACTTCTTCAGCTGAATTCTCAAGATTATTTGGCCATCATTACTACTACTGTCCAATTTTAAGTTCACAGTCAATGATTCAGGTAAAGAAAGGAGTAAGTAAAAAGTTGGTGGCTCATGCCTATAATCCCAGCATTTTGGGAGGCAAAGGTGGGTGGATCACGAGGTCAAGAGTTCAAGACCAGCCTGGCCAAGATGGTGAAACCCCTTCTGTACTAGAAATACAAAAATTAGCCGGGTATGGTGGCGGGCACCTATAATCCCGACTACTCAGGAGGCTGGGGCAGAGAAATGCTTGAACCCAGGAGGGGGAGGCTGCAGTGAGCTGACATTGCACCACTGCATTCCAGTCTCTTGAGTAGCAAAATTAAAATAAAAATTTAAAAAAAGTTGGATGAATGTAGCCTTTCTTCTCTTCCAACTTTGCTGCTAAAAGTTACAAAAACAATGAAATGTATATATTTATATACCCAGTTTTCCACCAGTCATCCTTCTAATCATTATACATACTTTTCAATGGGAAGAGGATGTGGTCCAGACACAGAAAGTTTGTAGATAAACATAAGAAATTTCCTAAAAGCTTCAAAAAAAGGCCAGTGTGAGAGTAAACAAATGCATTTGTTTGTATTGATGGATTTGAAGACCATTTTTCTCTCCACAGGCGTCAACAGGCCCAGCTGCATAAGCTGTTTCTCTGATAGAAGTTCCCGAGGGTAAGGTTCATAAAACTGAATGGCAGCTCCGTATACCTAGAGAGTAAGAGAACTGTTATAAGATTTGAGTTTGTTTTAAAGTATTAACTTTTTTTTTTTCTCTTATTACACAAGAAATATTTGCTTGGAGTACACCTATACAGACAAATTACCAAAAAAAAGCTTACCCAAAATTCTATCCCAGAGATAACCAGATTTTTATGTAAATCCCTCAAGATTTTTTCCACTGCAATTTTATACATTCAACTATGTATCTTACACAAAAATGGATGGTAACCTCTTATAACTTGCTTTCATTTTTAAAAGTGAAATTTTTTTTTACATAGCTCCTACCCTAGAGCATGAACTCTAACAACTCACTCAACTTAGTTTTTAGGGTTTTATGGTCTATGTTTGTTTGTTTGTTTTTTTCTGTTTTTTTTGACGGAGTCTTGCTCTGTCACCCAGGCTGAAGTGTAGTGGCTGATCTTGGCTCACTGCAACCTCCAACTCCTGGGTTCAAGCGATTCTCCTGCCTCAGTCTCCTAAGTAGCTGGGATTATGGGTGCGTGCTACCGTGCCCAGCTAATTTTTTGTATTTTTAGTAGAGGCAGGGTTTCACCATGTTAGCCAGGATGATCTATATCTCCTGACTTCATGATCCACCGGCCTTAGCCTACTAAAGTGCTGGGATTATAGATGTGAGCCACCATGCCCGGCCCAGATTTTTTAAATTGGGTTAAAATATACATAACATAAAATACACCACTTTAACCATTTTCAAGTGTACAATTCACTAGTATTAAGTACCTTCAAAATGGAATGCAACCGATATCACTATTCATTTCCAGAACTTTTTCATTACCCGAAACGAAAGCTCTGTAACCCTTAAACAGTAAATTCCCATTCTCTTGCCCTCAATCCAAGTCCTTGGTGAACTCTATTTTACTTTCTGTCTCTACAAGTGTAGCTATTCTAGGTACCTCCTATAAGTGGAATCATATAAAATTTATTCTTTTGTGTCTGGCTTATTTCACTTGGAATATTGTTTTTAAGATTCATCTATGTTGTAGCACATAGACAAATTTCATTCCTTCTTAAGGAATAAATAATAATTCCATCATATGCATACACCACGTTTTGTGTATACATTCATATGCTGATGAACATTTGGATTGTTTCCTCCTTTTGCCTATTACGAATAATCCTGCTATAACCACTGGTGTACAATTATGTGTTTGAGTCTCTGCTTTCAATTATTCTGGGTATATGCCTAGGCATGAAATTGCTGGATCGTATGGTAATTCTATGTTTAACTTTTGGAAGGAGTTGCCAAATTGTTTTCCACAGCAGCAGCATTTGATTTTCTCATCAGCAATGTTCAATTCCTCAATATCCTCCCCTTGATGACATAAGATACAGCTGACATTCCTCTGCCTTGGAACTCTTTACTCCTTTGTTGTCTTTGTGTTCCCGATGGTTCTAATGTACACTTCTATTTAGAAAATTTCATTCTCTCATGGTGTTAACTATAATCATTATGCTAAAAAAACACAAATCTTTACCTGATCGAACCTCAGACTCCTATCTCCACCTAGATGTCATACAGGCATCCCAAACCAATATTTTCAAAAGTGAACTCATTATCTAAATACTTGATCCAATATGCCTAATCTTAGTTATGTTATACAATCCCCAAGATAGAAATTTTGAAGTCAAGCTCAATTCCAATTCCACTTACCACATATCAAAGCAACTACTGAAGCCCTAACTGGTCTCAAGTGAGAAGAAAGTATTTTAGTGAAAAATACACTGAAGAAAGAGTCCTTCAGAGATAATATCTGATCCTTCAAAAGTTACCCATTTCAGGTAAAATGCCACAATCTGTATGAGTGGCAGGATGTTCTCAACTCCCAACAGTACCTGCTGTTCCTGCTCAATAATATAGAGCTACCAGGCACATAGACTAGTTCATAATTTTGTGCCTTGATATATTTTGCTTAGTCTTGGTACTTTCTCTGATCTGTCCATTCCTTAAAATACTGCAAAGAAATTCTATCATTATACCCATACCCTTCTCCCAACAATCAATCCTTACTTCTGTATTTTATAAACCTTGCCAACTATTCAGTCATTATATATATCACAATAACCCTTGCCTTTACACACACACCATTCCCAGATACGATTATTTCAAAGTGATCTCAAAGTTTTTAACAAGCAGTATGACATATGTATAAACATAAATTTTACACACCTAAATGCTTCCATGTTAATATCCCCTAATAATGAGTAAGTCAAACAAATCACCCAGGACCCACATCTCAAATGAGAATTTACTGTTCTCTACTGTCAAAGTATATTAGGTAACTCTTAAATGTTTGGAGATCTTAAAATTTTCAGTTACTTTTACTACTTTTGGCGAGAAATTATAAATGATTATTAAGCTAACAAATTAGTTTAGTAGTAGGCAATCAAGTTAATATAATATTGATCTTCTCTCAGCATTTTCTATGTTCCAGGCACTATGCTGAATACTTTACATATATTATCTTTAACATAGTGGTTATAAACGTGTAGCCTGTACCTGTAGAATGAGGTCATAGATGTATTTTGTTTCATCCACATGAGTCAGTTCAGGTGATATTTTTTCAACAAAATTGCCTATTTCATTAAATTTCCTTAGAAAGTTTTCAATTTTTAAATGTCTACTGCTATCAGCTTTTTATTATGAATACTGTTTATTTTTGCCTTTTCTTCTTTATCAATCAGTTTTATGTCATTATTACTGTTATATACAATATATGTTTTAAATAACACAATAAATGTCTTTTCTCTCTAGTTTTTTGTTTTTTTTTTGTCTCTGGTGTTCTATCATTGCACTATGATATAAAAAGAAGCGGGATAGGCCAACAGTGGTGGCTCACGCCTGTAATCCCAGCACTTTGGGACACCAAGGAGGGTGGATCAGCTAAAGTTAGGAGTCCGAGACCAGCCTGACTAAGACGGTGAAACCCTATCGCTACTTAAAAAAAAATACAAAATTAGCCAGGTGAGGTGGCACATGCCTGTAATTCCACTACTTGGGAGGCTGAGGCAGGGGAATCACTTGAACCTGGGAGGCGGAGGTTGCAGTGAGCTGAGATCATGCCATTGCACTTCAGCCTGGGAAACAGGAGTGAAACTCCGTCTCAAAAAAACAAAACAACAAAAAAGGTGGGATTATTCATTTATTTACTTGTTTACTTTTCTCTGTTGCAGATTCAGAGTGCATCACTAATCTGAAGACTCAATTTTTTCATCAACCTTGGAAAACTCTCAACCATTAGCTCTTAAGATGTAGCCTTGTCCTTTTCTAGTCACTCCTTCTGGAACTCATTAAATACCTATTAGAACTTCTAGTTCTATCCACTACATTTTTTGACTCCTTTTATGTTTTACATTTGTATGTGCCCCATTTAAGGTAACCCATCTTCCACTTCACTAATTCTCCCTTCAGGTATGTCTTAGCTCTGCTTTTTTTCTTCTTTTGAGACAGAGTATCACTCTGTAGCTCAGGTTGGAGGGCAGTGGCACAATCTCAACTCACTGCAACCTCCGTCTCCTGGGTTTAAATGATTCTCATGCCTCAGCCTTCAGAGTAGCCAAGATAGTTCTTACATCATTTCAATAATATTTTAATTTATAATATCTTTTATATTATCATTCTGTCATTTCAATGTCTTGAGGGTCTAACCCAACTTTTTAACTGTGTCTGCTGATTCTTTCTACGGTACCTATGTCTTCTATCTGTCACCATCATCTCAAGTCCTGGGTTTTGGAAGGGTAGAGAGACTTTATCTTTGCTTCTGTAAAATTCCCAAGGGATCAATATCCTGATAGCAATTTTCATGTGGATTTCTCATCTTGGGGATGACAGTGTAAATTTAAACCAAAATGTATCATGTCCAAATAATCCTAACATTCAAAGAAAACTTATATTAACCATTTTATAAAATAAAAACATGGCCAAAATGCGTTTAATCAATGAGGCAAAAACCAACCTTTTTGGCTGAAGAACCTGTCAACACAAAAGTTGAAAAAACTGGAAGCGGATATTTGGTTTCAGGATCCCAGCACTCAATAGTGGCTCCCATAGGAAGGCAGAAGAGAGGTACATCTGATTCTGAGAGTGGAAATGACTTATAGTCCTCTTCTGGATATCTAAAAATTAAACCTTTTGAAGAATGAGACAACAATAAATTTTTTAAATAGTTACTTTTCCATAAATTACATATGATAGATATTAATGGAATATTTTAATACCAAATTTCATGGCAATACTTGTGTGGTATTTTTAAATCGATTTTTATCTTGCTATAACAGAAACTAAAATAAACAAGTTTGCCCCTGATATTTTACCCATGGATTTATAGTTCATTGTAACATAAAAATGTATTAATATACTACTTGAGACTTCATTCAACCAATCTTGATCACCAATCTTAATGTATTTTCTTCTACACATGCCAACACCTTATGAAAAATGGTAAGAAACATACAGAAAAATTTACAAACTATTTCAGTTACTCTTCTGTGAAAAATTCTGGGAAGAGACATGTGTTATGAAATAATGCTGAGGCAACAGAAATTATCACAGCCCCTAAACTCATCTTGAGGGAGAAGCAGGGTAAAAGGCATGCAACACAAAAAGCAAACGAGACAGAAACGTTGTGACTAAGTACAGAGTACATGAGACCCAGAAAGTAGGAGCAAGGGGCACTTTGAGAAACACAGTAAAGCCCCTTCAGAATAAATTATCCATATGACATCAGTTCATTAGCCTCTAAGGACATATAGACCATCTCTAAATGAAAAACTTCAAAATCAGTAGTAGAATTTTGAGCCCAAATTCAGTATCCAAAACTCTCTATTCTAAAATAAGTGTGTCATATGAAATAACTGAATGCTTTTGTACAGCTTCTTTCTGTAAGTTTTTTAAGCAATACCCTTCCCCACATACAAAAAAAGAAATCACATACAATCAACATATTACAGCACTATTAACAGTATCACTTTTTTTTTTTTTTTTTTTTTTAAGAGAGAGTCTTGCTCTGTCACTCATGCTGGAGTGCAATGGTGTAATCCCAGCTCCCTGCAACCTCCACCTCCCGGGTTCAAGCAATTCTTATCTCTCAGCCTCCCAAGTAGCTGGGACTACAGGTGTGCACCACCACATCTGGCTAATTTTTGTATTTTTAGTAGAGATGGGGTTTCACCATGTTGGCCAGGCTAGTCTCAAACTCCTGGCCTCAAGTGATTTGCCCGCCTCAATCTCCCAAAGTGCTGGGATTACAGGCATGAGCCACCATGCCCAGCCTACAGTATCAAATTTTAAAATGATACTGAATTTTATATTTTTTAGTTGTTGCCATTATTTTTATATGGTAAATTAAATGGTTTGGTTCATTAGTATGAATGCTGTTTTATGAAAGGCAACAATTTTTGGATATTGATTTGCCTGACTTCCCTGAAGCAAAACTTTAAGAACTGTGCGAAATCAAAAAGTAATAGCACTGCTTCTTTTCACAAAGAAGTATTCCAGTATCTCTTCTATTTACAACTGGAGCATACCTGTATTTTCAGTTTTTATCCCACCATACCAGTGGGATGAAGAGGTGACACTTAAATCTTTACAGCCCTTGACACTTTAATGTGCAGTAAGAATGTGGCGATAGATTTCTCAAACACTTCATGGCAGAAAAGTTTCTCAGGCCCTCCTCTCCTCCATATAGCTGATTCTTTGCAACAAAGGAGAAAGGAAGCAAGTCCACCTTTCATGGCAAGTAACATGTGGTTTCAAATCAGACACACAGAGATAAGAAAAGGAAATATAAGAAGTAAAGATGCAGTTTGACACCTTTCTGATTGTCAAAATATAAAAGGTCAGAGAGTCAACAACTTTCCACTATACTGTTAAGTCTATTAACGCAGACCAAAAGCTTGAATGTTTATTCCACATATGTTTGCTTTGGATAACTGTTTAAATTAAATTAACAGCATGTTTGGTGGGGGTATTAATATATCTTGTATATGTAATGTATTTAAGAAAACATTTATCTTTATATGCTATAATTATAGATAATTTTATGAATAGATCAATTCTACAAACTATATAAGGGAGCATACTTCGTCTCTTTTAGCCAAATGTTAATATGCACCAATAAGTACAGCAATTGAGACGATTTTTTTAAAATTCACTTACCAGCCTTATATGCTATTGCATTTGAAGCAGGTACAGACTTCTTATAACACAGAAACACGCTGGAACCCCACTGTAAAACATAAATTAGGTTTATAAAAAGACAAGAGTGAAAAGAAATTCATTTTGTTGGATATTATCTAAAGATTCTTATTATTTACTCAGGACAGTCTATTTAAAACATGTTTATATGACAAACTACGTAGTATAAAACACAGCGCAGCATGAAGTTCAGATCATTAAGAGAGTAAGAAAACAATGCTACAAAAATCTAATATGAAGGCAGTTTCAAAAGATTTAATTTTGCAATGACCCAGAGATTGCCCCTGCTTGTAAGACACAGCACAAAGTGGAGTGTGCACTGGAGCCCAAAATGGGGAAGACTGGGGTCACTGGAACGCTATGAGGTCATCACCTCCAGAGGCAACTCTGTCTTCACTAATTGTTCTGAGTGCATTTGTCATCTCTGTCTATACAACATTAAGCTAATATTAGTTTGACTTGAAGATATTTTTCAAAGTAAATCTGAAACAAAATAAACTGTAGTCTTTAAAAACTATGAACCAAAAGTTTATGTTCATTTTCTTCTTCACTAGAGTCCTCTTAAAAAGTAAGTATGCACAATTGCAATATTTTCTCTTGAGCCCAAGAGTTCAGGAGCATCCTGGGTAACTTAAGGAGATCCTGTCTCAAAAAACATGCAGGCATGGTGTCTCACCCCTATAATTCCAGCACTTTGGGAGGCCGAGGCAGGGGGATCACTTGAGGTCAGAGGTTCAAGACCAGCCTGGCCAACATGGTGAAACCCTGTCTCTACTAGCCTGTAGTCCCAGCCGCTCGGGAGGCCAAGATGGGAAGATCACTTGAGCGCGGAGCACCAAGGCTGAGGTGAGCTGTGATCACACCACTGCACTCCAGCCTGGGAAACAAAGCAAGACCCTGTCTCGAAAAAAAAAAAAAAATCAAATGAATGAATAAATCAATAAGGAGAGCCTCTACCACACTATCGCTGCAGTTATCCCTGAAGACACCACTGAAATCCAAAAGATAATAAAACCTTTGTTAATATAACTCAAGCAGTATTAGGATTTACTCCTTCAAAAATATCCCTGATTTAAAGATGAAATTATTGTAAATCATGGGATAGGATTTTAAAATTATTATAAATCATAAAAATTAGGAAAAAATAAAAACAAGCACTATTAAAATATAAAATGTGAGTAAAGTATATACCCAACAGTAAACAGGAATCCAAAACATATCCCTTTTTGTTTTCATATGAAACTTTGAAAATGAAAACTTTATTCTTACCATTCCACAATTTAAGTTTTTATCAACTTTGCAGAAGGTATGAGGAGGAGTTTCTCCTTTACTGGTTACAATAACACAGATATCAGTTACAGCCAAGGAATTCTGGGGTCGAACTGGAGGAGCCCTTCGATAAGTGATAAAGATTCTTTGTGAAGTAGTTGAACTATTGTTGACATTGGCACAGCGACCATAGGGTGTGGCTAGGATCACTTCACATCCTGGAATAAGCCGTTCTTTCCCTTCATATAGAACTCTGCATGGCAGGAAGGAAGGGAAGAAATAGATATAGATACATACATACACACAAACATACGTAAACACAAACACACACACACACACATATATAAAACATACATTTCAGGTTAATACTGATTTTCTTCTTGAAACCAAGAAAATTTTTTTGGTCTCTCCTATTGTTTCCCAAATCTTCACTACAAACCAAATTTAAATTATTTCTTTGGGAACTTTAAGTCTCTTAACTATTTTTCAAAAGCCAAAACATAATTTGAGAAATGTAAACAGGATTGAACAACTTGATTTTTTTATTGCTTAATAACAAGCAACATATGAAAAAAGAAACGGGCAATACCACAAATGTCTTCAGGTCAATTCCTAGAAGTTTCAACAAGTATTCAAAAGTTTTCATAAAAATTCCCTCCATAATTTGTCAATTTTTTAGCTTTAAAAATTAGTTGAAAACTATAAAACATTAAAGAAATTAAAGAGCTAAATAAATAAAAAGACATCTTATGCTTATGGACAATAAGACAATATTGACAAGATGGTAATACCCTCAAATAGATCAATAAAGTCAATGCAATTTCTATCTAAATCCCAGCTGCCTCTGTTTTTTCTTGTCAAAGCAATCTGGAAAAAGAAGAAAGGTGGAGGACTCACACTTCCCTATTTCAAAACTACCACACATTTATAGTAATCAGTGCAATGTATGGCAAAAGGATAAACATACAGATCAACAGATTTAATGGAGGGTCTAAAATTAAGCCCTTATATTTGCATCCGTTTATTTCAACAAGAGTGCCAAGACAATGCAATCAGGAAAGAATGGTTTTTTTCAACAGGTGGTGTTGGAATAACTGTACATCTACATGCAAAAGCATGAAGCTGGACCCCTTCCCTGTACTACTCATCAAAAAAACTAAAAATGGATCAAAATTAATGTAAGAACTAAAACTATAACACTCTTAGAAAAAAAAAACAGGAATAAATCTTTGTGACCTTAGGTTAGACATGGCCTTCTTAAATATAACACCAAAAGTACAAGCAACTAAACATGCTAAGTGAAGAGAAATAAAAAAACAGTCACAAAGACCACATATAGTGATTCTGTTTTTATGAAATGTCTAGAATAGGCAAATCCATAGACAGAAAGTAGACTAATAGTTACCTAGGGGTAGAAGGTGGGAAAGAGTACTAAACAGCAATTGCTAATGAGTATGGGGTTTCTTTTTAGATAGATGAAAATGTTCTAAAATTAACTATAGTGGCAGCTGCACAACTCTGTAAATAATACTAAAAATCACTGAATTATACACTTTAAGTAAATAAACTGTGTGACAATGTGAACTGTATCTCCATAAAGCTGTTAAAGCCCAACTAATATTAAAATATACTATAAAGCCTCTATATTTAAATCAGGAGAGTATTAGCAAGTAAGTAAACAAACAGAAGAAAACTCTAGTATATGATGACGGTAATATCTCAACATACAAAGGGAAGGACAGATTTTTAAATTTAATAAGCAAGACTTAGATAACTGGATTGCCATTTGGAAAAAAAATTCTGTCCATACTTCAGACTGTACAGAAGGGGATCCCCCAGTGGATCACAGATCTAAACATAAGCAATGAAATCATACTAGTGCTAAATAAAAGTATACCTATCAGTTCCAAAAGACTATGACTCAAAATCTAGTAGCAATAAATATGAGTAGAAAAATGAACTACATAAAATAAGTTTAATATGACAACAAACACCATAAGCCAAGATAAAAGACAAGTTATAGAGTTGAAGAAAATAGTCGGCAACTTATTTCACAAACAGCTCATCCTCCTAATACATTAAAAAAAAAAAAAAAAACTTTTTTTTTTTTTTTTTTTTTGAGACGGAGTTTTGCTCTTGTTACCCAGGCTGGAGTGCAATGGCACGATCTCGGCTCACTGCAACCTCTGCCTTCTGGGTTCAAGCAATTCTCCTACCTCAGCCTCCCGAATAGCGGGGACTACAGGCACGCACCACCATGCCCAGCTAATTTTTTTGTATTTTTAGTAGAGACAGGGTTTCACCTTGTTGACCAGGATGGTCTCGATCTCTTGACCTCGTGATCCACTGTGCCCGGCAAAAACTCCTTTTAAAAAATCAAGGTAAAGATTAAAAATCTGTTTATTGTGTAAGCAAAAAAAAAAAAAAAGATAATCACCCGTTAAACAGATGTAGAAGGTAATCCTAGCACTTTGGGAGGCCGAGGTGGGTGGATCACCTGAGGTCAAGAGTTCAAGACCAGCCTGGCCAACATGGTGAAAGCCCATCTTAAAAAAATAAAAAAATACATAGTCTTGGAACGATCCAAGATGGCCGATCACTAACATCCCGGGATTGCAGCTCTCAGGGAAGGCCCGGAGAACTAGAGGACGCCACACTTTCAAAGTCTGGTCGCTCAGGAAGCAGAAGATCCCCCAGTGGTGGAAACACAGGAGTCGCCAGCGCAACTCTCGTGGTCGGCGCAGCGGTTCTGCCGGCACCTCCACGCGGCAGCGCTCGGCACAGAGTAAACGGGACCGGTTCCCCTTCTGACCGAGGTTTGGAGCCCCAGGAAGGCAGAGTCGCCTACTACGGAAACAAGAAGGAAGCCCAACAGGAGAATCCTGGGCAGAAAAGCACCATCAGTTTTAACGCCGCTGCTCTGGCCCTGGGAACTAACAACCTGGACGTCCACTCAAGAGACCTAATCTGAAAGTTGGTAAATTCAAAGACGACAGGAGGATAAATTTACAATGACGGGAAGAAACCAGCGTAAAAAAGCTGAGAATACTCAAAATCAGAACGCCTCTCCCTCTAAAGATGATCACAGTTCCACATCGACAATGGAACAAGGCTTGATGGAGAACGAGCGCCTCCTGATGACAGAATCACTCTTCAAGGAATGGATAATAACAAACTTCGGTGAGTTAAAAGACCATGTTGTAGCCCAACGTAAAGAAACTAGGAACTTTGAAAAAAGGTTTGATGAACTCCTATTGAGAATAGACAACTTAGAGAGGAATATGAGTGAATTAATGGAACTGAAGAATACAATACAGGAACTCCGAGAAGTATGCACAGGTTTAAACACTCAAATTGTTCAAGCAGAAGAAGGGATATCAGAGGTCAAAGTCCAACTTAATGAAATAAAACGTGAAGAAAAGATTAGAGAAAAAAGGATAAAAAGGAATGAGCAAAGTCTCCAAGAAATGTGGGACTATGTGAAAAGACCAAATTTACGTTTGATAGGTGTACCTGAATGCGACGGAGAGAATGAATCCAAGCTGGAAAATACCCTTCAGGATATAATTCAGGAAAATTTTCCTAAACTAGCAAAGCAGGTCAACATTCAACCCCAGGTAATACAGAGAACACCACAAAGATATTCCTCAAGAAGAGCAACCCCAAGGCACATAATCGTTAGATTCACCAGGGTTGAAATGTAGGAGAAGATACTAAGGGCAGCCAGAGAGAAAGGTCAGATTACCCACAAAGGCAAGCCTATCAGACTTACAGCAGATCTCTCGGCAGAAACTCTACAGGCCAGAAGAGAGTGGGGGCCAATATTCAACATCCTCAAAGAACAGAACCTTCAGCCCAGAATTTCATATCCAGCCAAACTAAACTTCACAACTGAAGGAAAAATAAAATATTTTATGAACAAGCAAGAACTCAGAGATTTTATTACCACCAGGCCTGCTTTACAAGAGCTTCTGAAAGAACCATTACACACAGAAAGAAACAACCAGTATTAGCCTTTCTAAAAATACACCAAAAAGTAAAGAGCACAGACATAAAGAAGAATTTACACCAACGAATGGATAAAACAGCCAGTCAACATCAAATGGCAGTAACCCTAAATTTAAATTGACTAAATTCCCAATCAAAAGACACAGCCAAAACCCAACGGCATGTTACATCCAGACCTGTTTCACATGCAAGGATACACAAAGACTCAAAACAAAGGGATGGAGAAAGATTTACCAACCAAATGGAGAGCAAAAATAAATAATAAATAAATAAAAAGCAGGAGTTGCAATTCTTGTATCGGATAAAATAGATTTTAAAGTAACAAAGATATTGTGGTAAAAGGATCAATGCAACAACAAGAGCTAACGATCCTAACACCCAGATGCGAGACTTAGATTCAATGAGACAGAAAATTAATAAGGATATCAAGGACTCGAACTCAGATCTGGAACAAGTAAACTTAATAAATATTTATAGAGCTCTCCACTTCAAATACACAAAATATACATTCTTGTCAATACCACATCACACCTACCCATTAGTTTAAATGAAACATTGATTGGCCATTATTAATACCCAATTTTTTTCAAAATAAAGCAATATTTCCATTTACTCTCCCTCTTTCTCTTCCTCTTTCTTCCTCTCCTTTACTTATTTTTTTTTTTTTCTTTCCTTCTCTCAAAAAGAAAGAAATCAACTTGTAAACCTCTAGATCCAGGTCGGCAATGTCTCTTTCATTGCTTGATTTCCTTTCTTCCCTTCCTTCCCTCCCTCCCTCCCTCCCTCCCCGCTTCCTCCCTTCCTTCCTTCCTTCATCCCTTCCTTCCTCCCTACCGTCCTTATTCCCTTCCTTCCTGCCTTCCTCCCCCCAAAAATAAATTAAATAAATAAATAAATAAATAAATAAACATATGTAGAGATGCTTAACCTCAATGAAATTACTGTGATATACAATTAATCTGTGTAAGATTGACAAAAACTATAAAAGTCAGACCACATACTTTGTTGATGGGATGTGGATAAAAAAGCACTCACATATATGGCAGAATATAAAATGGCACAAACACTATAGAGAAAAATTTAGTAACATTTAACAAAATTATATGCACATTTATCTTTTAATCCAGCAATCTTTCTTAAGATCTACCTGAAAACATACCTCCACAAATACGTAACAGTAAATGCACAAAGTTATTTATCCAGTATTCTTTGAATAGCACAAAACTGGGAACAACCCAAATGTCTATCAGTAGGGGTTTTGTTGAATAAAGTAAATACATCCACACAAATAAGTATTATACAGTCACACAAAATAATGCAAAAGATCTTCTATTCAGATACAGACTGATTCCCAGTATATACTCTTAGGTGAAAAAAGCAAAGTACAAAATAGGATATGGAGTATCTACATTGTGGCTCCTACTTCCTTTCGGTTAGCTTAGTAAACAAATGAAAAAAGGTCAATTTGTTGGTGACAAGTATATTGCTCAATATTTTATAGTCTATCATCTAGGAGAAAAGGATACTTGTGTTTATTATAATAGTTTATTAGTTTTCCATATGTTTGAAGTTTCTCAAAAAACAAAAGAGCTGGAGAACCAAATCAGTTGAAAGTCAATGAATCTGATAAACAGAATAAAATAACAATTTTGTATGGTCTATGATTCTGTATCTTAAGAAATGCAGCTGATATATAAAACAACACACTGCCCTGTTCAGATTATATAGACATGCACCACATAACAATGCTTTAACCACAGACTACATATACTATGGTGGTACCACAGATTATAATAGAGCTGAGAAATTCCTATCACCTAGTATGTACAATACTATATCTTTTATCATTAATTCCTACTTACAAAAAAAGTTAACTGTAAAACAGTCTCAGGCATAAAAATGCCGTCTAGTGGGTGGATCACGAGGTCAAGAGATCGAGACCAACCCGGTCAACATGGTGAAACCCTGTCTCTACTAAAAATACAAAAAATTAGCTGGGCATGGTGGCGCGTGCCTGTAATCCCAGCTACTCAGGAGGCTGAGGCAGGAGAATTGTCTGAACCCAAGAGGCGGAGGCTGCAGTGAGCCGAGATCGCGCCATTGCTCTCCAGCTTGGGTAACAGCGAAACTGTCTCAAAAAAAAAAAAAAAAAAAATGCCGTCTGGAATTCCTCCTAAAGATATCCTAGAGCTTATTACAGCTCTATGTGGGTTACTACCCATGAAGACCTTTCAGTGGGACAAGATCTGGTGGCAGAAGGCAGAGATAGTAATGATCCTGACTCTCTGTAGGCCTAGGCTAACGTGTCTTTTTGTCTTAATTTTTAACAAAAGAGTTAAATAGTTTAAAAAAAAAAAAAAAGCCAGCCACAATAGTTCACACCTATAATCCCAGCACTTTGGGAGGCCAACATAGAAGGATTGCTTGAAGTCAGGAGTTCAAGAACAGCCTGGGCAACATAGGAAGATATCACCTTTGCAAAAACTTTCAAAATAAGAAAACTATTTTTAACCAGCCAGGTGCAGTGGCTCACACCTGTAATCCTAGCACTTTGGGAGGCCAAAGTGGGCAGATCACTTGAGGTCAGGAGTTCGAAACCAGCCTGGCCAACATGGTGAAACCCTGTCTCTACTATAAAATACAAAAAGATTAGTCAGGCATGGTGGCAGACAGCTATAATCCCAGCTACTTAGGGAGGCTGAGGCAGGAGAATCACTTGAACCCAGGAAGCAAGTTAAAGTTGCAGTGAGCCAAGATTGTGCCACTCACTACACTCCAGTTTGGGAGACAAAACAAGACTCTACCTCAAAAAAAAAAAAAAGAGAGAGAGGAAAAAAAAAACCCCGAAGTTTAAAAACCAAGCCAGTCCCAACTATTCAGGAGGCTGAGGCAGGAGAAGGATCACCTGAGCCCAGGAGTTCAAGCCCAGCCTGGGCAACATAGCGAGACTCCATTAAAAAAATTTTTTTTTACATTTTTGCCGGGTGCAGTGGCACATGCCTGTAATCCCAGCACTTTGGGAGGAAGAGGCAACTGGATCACTTGAGTTCAGGAGTTCACGACCAGCCTGGGCAACATGGTGAAACCCCACCTCTACCAAAAAAAAAAAAAAAATTAGCCAGGAGTGATGACACACACCTGCTACTCAGGAGGCTGAAGTGAAAGGATTATTGACTGAGCCCCGGAGGTGGAGGCTGCAGTGAGCCTAGATTGTGCCACTGCATTCTAACCTGGGCAACAAAGTGAGACCCTGTTTCGAAAAAAATAAAAAATAAAAAAAAAATAGAAGACATTTTTTAAATAGAAAAAAACTTAATAAGGATTTAAAGAAAGAAAAACATTTTTGTATAGTTGTATGGTATTTGTGTTTTAAACTAAGTATCATTAACAAAAGAATCAAAAAATTAACAAAACCTTTAAAAGTTTATAAAGTAAAAAGGTTACTATAAGCTAAGGTTAATTTATTAAAGTCTACAGTAGTGTACAGTCATGTCCTAGGCCTTCATATTCATTTACCACTCACTCGCTGACTCACCCAATATATCCCATGTATATATGGTAAAGTATTACAGGTATTCTAAAAGTACATAAATTTTACAGAAGAGTCAAAGTAGCCATTTGGGCTCTGCTGGGTACAAAGGTCTACTCTGTAGGCATTTACAAAAAAGAATGTCCTTCATTGGTAGACTAGATATGAGACATTTCATGAAAACTATAACGCATATCTGTAAACACCCTCCTCCCAGCACTGGAAGCCACACAGTACAACTATATTTAAAACAGGACGGCTCTTTTGTTAAACAAGTACAGATCCTCACAAAAACTCACTACATAACCCAAGCAGCTCCTTAAAATGACAGTGTCTTTATTATAGCTTCTCATTCTATTGTGTTTAATTAATAATCTTATTTGATTAGCACAACAGAAACAAAATGACATTTTAGGGTCTAATGTCTTCATTTCAATATTCTTTTGAGAGCAAATGATCTAACAATTCAAGTGCAATGCAGAGAAATTCAATAAGGGTGGATACGGACATGTAATATATTACTATAATTAATCCTGAAGTAACAATAACACCATAATAATAAACTATCAATAATAAAACTATGAAGGATTTCAAATTTCTACTTCCATGAATCTTAAATAAATATTTTTCCTTCACTACAGCAAAGAAAATAAGTCACCATACCCAATATCTGTAAGGGGTGGTTTATCTCTCCCTCTCTTATAACAGAGGAAAAGTTCTGGGCTTTTCAGACTTCCATAATTCAGGTTTGCCTGGAGAGCTGATGGAGTAGCTTCCACACAGGTGTAACCTTCAGGTACTGTTTCTCCAGCTGATTTGATAATAACAGCAATGTCCGTAATTGGAGCTTTAGGTCCAGTTGACTTAGTATCTAAACGATTTATTTCTTGATCCAAAAGAGTAGATGTGTCAGTGAGACCAGCTACAACAAAGTAGTCTGTCACTCTTGGTCCTTTGTCTTCTATCATGACTGCTACTATATTTTCTAGAAGATGGAGAAGAAAGATATCAATAAAACACTTTATCCTGACAAAAATTAATATATCCTTGAGTTACCAATCATCAATTAGCACACTTCTCAGCTGGATTTATAATCAAATTGTCATTCTGAGAAGAAGGCTGCTTTTAACATCCTGTCAGATTTTACCTCCTACAAAGTACAAGTTAACAACGTCAATTCATTTGTAACACAACTATAATCTTTTCACTTGTGTAAGGCTCTAATAAGACTAATGGCGGGGCACAGTGGCTCATGCCTGTAATACTAGCATTTTGGGAGGCCAAGGCAGGTGGATCACAGGTCAGGAGATTGAGACCATCCTGGCTAACATGGTGAAACCCCATCTCTACTAAAAATACAAAAAATCAGCCAAGCGTGGTGGCATGCTCCTGTAGTCCCAGCTGCTCGGGAGGCTGAGGCAGGAGAATCGCTTGAACCCAGGAAGCGGAGGTTGCAGTGAGCCAAGATCACGCCACTGCACTTCAGTCTGGGTGACAGAGCAAGATTCCATTTCAAAAAAAAAGAATAATCCAACTAGGGGCCTGGCACAATGGCTCATGCCAGTAATCCTACAACTGTCAGGGGCCAAGGCGAAGATCACCTGAGGTCATAAGTTCAAGACCAGCCTGGCCAACATGGAGAAACCCTGTGTCTCCTAAAAATATAAAAATTAGGCTGGGCACAGTGGCTCACACCTGTAATCTTAGCACTTTGGGAGGCCAAGGTGGGTGGATCACCTGAGGTCAGCAGTTCAAGATCAGCCTTGCCACAATGGCGAAACCCCATCTCTACTAAAAATACAAAAATCAGCTGACTGTGGTAGCAGGCACCTATAATCCCAGCTACTTGGGAGGCTGAGGCAGGAGAATTGCTTGAACCCGGGGGGCGGAGGTTGCAGTGAGCCAAGATCACTTCGCTTCACTCCAGCCTGGGTGAAAAAGAGAAACTCCATCTCAAATAAATAAGTATTAGCCGGGTATGGTGGTGTGTACCTGTAGTCCCAGCTACCCAGGAGGCTGAGGCACGAGAATCACTTGAACCCAGAAGGCAGAGGTTGCAGTAAGCTGAAATTGTGCCACTGCACTCCAGCCTGGGCAACAGAGTAAGACTCTGTCTCAAAAAAAAAAAAAAAAAGTCAGGCCCAATGGCTCATGCCTGTAACCTCAGCACTTTGGGAGGCTGAGGTAGGTGGATTGCTTGAGGTCAGGAGTTTGAGACCAGCCTGGCCAACACAGTGAAACCCCATCTCTACTAAAAGTACAAAACTTAGCCAGGTGTGGTGACAGGTGCCTGTAATCCCAGTTAGGCTGAGGCAGGAGAACTGCTTGACCCTGGAAGGCAGAAGTTGCAGTGAGCCGAGACAGCACCACTGCACTCCAGCCTAGGCAACAGAGCAAGACTCCATCTCAAATAATAATGATTAAAAAAACTATCAGAGGTGGACTATGGTATTTTCCTTTGAGCAAAATGCACTTAATGAACAATATTCAGACCATTCAAAATATCATTCACTTTTAAGTTACAGGAGTTTTAGAGCTAAACTCCACATTTAAATAAATTGAGTGCATCATTAATTAGTCAAGATCTAAGATCAGAAAAATTAAGGAACTAGTAATAAATAATCATTAAAGCAGTTTCTTAACAATCCAGTTATAACACTTTGCTTTATAAACATTAAACTTTCCACAAACACAATGTAAAATAACTAAGCTTAGGAATCATTAACTATTTTATATCTAAAAATACCAGATAGAGCATAAGAAACAAAAACCAATGAAACCATTCCCACAATCAAGATAGTGAAACGTATCTGTCAATACCAAAATTTTCTTGTTCCTCCTTCATTATCTCTCCTCCCCAGGCAACAAGTTATCTCCTTCCTATCACTATAGATAAGTTTCTAGAATTTGTATAATAAGTAGAATCATACAGTATGTATTCTTTGGATTCTTTGACTCATCATAATTATTTTGTGATAAACGTATGTTGTTGCTTATATCAACAGTTCATTCCTTGTTATTACTGAGTGATATTCCACTGTATAAATATACACAATATGTTTATCCATTCACCTATATTAATAGACATTTGGATTATTTCCCATGAGAAGCTATTACAAATAAAGCTGCTATGAATACCCATGTACAAATCTTATGGACATAATGCCTTCATTTATCTTGGGTAAATTCCTAGAACAGGATGGCTAGATTAGGTGTATATAGGTCTAAAAAACTGCCAAACAGTTTTCTAAAGTGAGTGTACCATGTTTTCACTCTTGTCAGTTTTATTTGACAGTTCCAACTGTTCCACATCCTCTTCAACACATTATAAGATCAGTCTTTTTAATTTAGACATTCTAATCAGTATGTAGTGATATCAACTTGTGATTTTAATTTGCAATTACTATTGATACTGAACATCTTTCCATTAATTTATTTTCCATCCATATATCTTCTTTGATGAAATTTCTGTTCAAATGTTTTGCCCATTTTTTAACTGAGTTGTTTATTTTCTCATACAAGTTCTTTATGTTCTCATGAAAGTTGAGAGTTCTTTATGTATTCTTGAGACAAGTCATCTATCAGACATACGCTCTGCAAATATTTTCTCCCAGTCTGTGACTTGTCTTTTCATAATCTCTTATAATGTCTTATGAAAAACAGAGGTTTTATATTTTTTATGAACTCCTATTTATTAACCTACTCTGTATAGATCATGCTTGTAATGTCATTTAAATCATGTCTGTCAGGCATGGTGGCTCACACCTGTAATCTCAGCACTTTGGGAGGTGGGTGGATCACCTGTGGTCAGGAGTTTCAGACCAGCCTGGCAAAACTCCATCTCTACTAAAAAAAAAAAGAAAAAAACACACACATACACAAAAATTAGCTGGACATAGTGGCGCACACCTGTAATTCCATCTACTCAGGAGGCTGAGACAGGAAAATCACTTGAACCAAGGAGGATGAGGTTACAGTGAACTGAGATCGCACCACTGCACTCCAACCTGGGTGACAGAGCAAGACTCCATCTCAAAAAAAAAAAAAAAAAAAGAAATCATGTCTAATCCAATGTCATAAAGAAAACATTTCTCTCATGTTTTCTTCTAAATGTTTTATAATTTTAGGTTTTACATTTAGGTCTATGATGCATTTTAAACTGATTTTTGCATAATGGCACAAGGTATAAATGAAGATTCATTTTTTTACACATGGATATCCAATTTTTCCAGGACCCTTTGTTGAAAAAACTGTCCTGGCCAGGCGCATTGGATCATGCCTGTAATCCCAGTACTTGGGAGGCCAAGGCAGGAGAATTGCTTAAGTCCAGTAGTTCAAGACCAGCCTGGCGAACATAGCTGGAGTGCAATGGCATGATCTCGGCTCACCGCAACCTCCGCGTCCTGGATTCAAGTGATTCTCCTGCCTCAGCTTTCCAAGGAGCTGGGATTACAGGCATGCACCACGATGCCTGGCTAATTTTGTGTTTTTAGTAGAGACTGGGTTTCCATGTTGGTAAGGCTGGTCTGGAAATTCCAGCAATTTGGAAGGCCAGAGGTGAGCAGATCACTTGAGGCCAGGAGTTCAAGAACAGGCTGGCCAACACAGAGAAACCCTGTCTTTACTAAAAATACAAAAAAAGTATCTGGGTATGCTGGAACATGCCTGTAATTCCAGCTACTCGGGAGGCTGAAGCACAAGAATCACTTGAACCAGGGAGACAGACTGCAGTAAGCCAAGATTGTGCCACTGCATTACAGCCTGGGTGACAGAGCAAGACTCTATCTCGAAAAAAAAAAAATATATATATATATATATATATATTTACCTTTAAAAAAAAAGCCTACTGTAATTTTAATTAGGACTGCATTAAAACTATATGTCAAGTTAAGGAGGCTTGATATCCTAGCATGGATTCATGGGTCACTGAGTCTTCTAACCCATGAACAAGGTTAATCTCTGCATTTACTTAGATCTTTTAAATTTTTTCAGCAATGTTTCAGAGTTTGCAACATACAGGTCTTTCACATCTTTGGTCAGAGTTATTCCTAAGTACTTAATAATTTAGATGTTATTGCAAATATCATTTCATTTTTAATTCAATTTCCAATTATTCATTGCTACTATACAGAAATACAACTGATTTTTACATATTGATCTTACATAATGGAATCCTGCTAAAGTCACTTAGAGCATTTTTGTAGGTTCCATCAGACCTTCTACATAATGTATCTGTGAATAAAGACAATTTTTACTTCTTTCTTTCCATTGTAGATGCTTTTTATTTCTTTTTCTTGCCTTATTGCACTGGCTAGAGCATCCAGTACAATGTTCAGGATAAATGATAACCAAAGATATCGAAATGACCAATAGACAAATATGTTCATCACTGGTCACAGCAGCACTATTCACAACAGCCAAGAGGTGAAAAGAAACCAAGTAACAATCAACAGGTGAATGGATAAACAAAATGTGATATAAACATGCAATGGAACATTACTCACCCTTCAAAAAAGAATGTAATGCTGACTTATGTTACAAAATGGATAAACCTTGAAGGAATTATGCTAAATGAAATAAGCCAGTCACAAAAAGACAAATACTAGATGATTCCACCTATGTGAGTTACGTAAAGTAGTCAAATTCATAGAGACGAAAAGTAGAAAGGGGGTTTGCCAGGGGCTGGGGTGAGGGAAGAATGGGAAGTCGTTTCATGGGTGTACAGTTTATATTAAGGATGACAAAAAAGTTCTGGGCATGAACAGTGACAATAGTTACCCAACTGTTGAAGGGAGGTTGTCTTAATACACATTTCTTTTTCTTTTTTTCAAACAGAGACAAGCTTTCACTATATTGTCCGGGCTGGAGTGTAATGGCACAAGCAGAGCTTACTGCAGCCTCAAATTCCCAGGCTCAGGAGATCCTCCCACCTCATCCTCTCAAAGTGTTGGGATTATAGGCATGACCCACCACACCTGTTCTTAAAACACATTTCCTTGATTAAAAAAAAAAAAAAAAAAAAAGCTGAGTGCAGTGGCACACACAGTACCAACTACTCGGGAGGCTGAAGCAGGAGGACTGCTTGAGCCCAAAAATTCAAGTACAGCCTGGGCAACATACCAAGCCCCTGTCTCTTAGCAGAAAAAAAAGAGTGAAAGAAATAGTGAGAGTTGGAAAATTTATTTTGTTCCAAATCTTATGGGGAAAGCATTCAGTCTTTTACCAATAAATATGACTCTATTTGTAGGTTTATCATACAGGCTATTTCTCAGATTAAGAAAGTTCTATTCCTAAAACTTTTTAACAAGAATGGATGTTGGGAGGTGAGGGTGGAGCAAGATGGCCAAATAGAACTCTCCATTGATTGTCCCTCCTGCCCCCAAAAGCACCTTTTTATAAGAACCAAAAATCAGGTGAGTGATCACAGTACCTGGTTTTAACATCATAGCAAAAAAAAAGAGAAGGATGAATGGTTAGACAGGTGCTGGGATACACCCTATCTTGGTTAGTGGTTTCTAGGATATGCTACAGCATCACATGGCTGTATGGGGTACCTTGGCTAGGACTCTACAATGGAACATGCAAAGAATTTGTGACAGAACCACTTGGAGCCTTACTCTCTCCTCAGAAGAGTAAGGCTGTAAGTGGTTCATCATCAACTTCAATTAAATAATTAGAAGTAACTGCAGGAGGAGGCAGAGCAAGATGGCTGAATAAAATCCTCCAGTGATGGTCCCCCGTGCAGGAACACCAAATTGAACACACACACAAAAAAGTCCTTCATAAGAACCAAAAATCAGGTGAGTGAACATAGTACCTGGTTTTAACATTGTATTAAGGAAAGAGGGGTGGGGTGCAGTGGCTCACACCTGTAATCCTAGTGCTTTGGGAGGCCAAGGCAGGCAGATCACCTGAGGTCAGGAGTTTGAGACCAGCCTGGCCAATATGGCAAAACCCCATCTCTACTAAAAATACAAAAAAAAAAAAAAATTAGTTGGGCGTGGTGGTCTGCCAAGTGTAATCCTAGCTACTCGGGAGGCTGAGGCATGAAAATCACTTGAACCCAGGAGGCAGAGGTTGCATTGAGCCAAGCTCGCACCACTGCACTCCAGCCTGGGTATAGAGCAAGACTCTGTCTCAAAAAAAAAAAAAGGAAAGAGGCACTGAAGAAAAAACAGTCTTGAATGCCTACACCACACCTCCCCCATACCCTGGCAGTGGCCATGTGACAAGTAGCAAGAATCTGTGCGCTTAGGGGAAGAAAAGTACAGTGATTGCAAGACTTCGTATTGGAACTCAGTGACGCCCTGTCAGAGTGGAAAGCAACACAGGGCAAAATCGGCCAGTGCTCACAGAAGGAGCATTTGGACCAGCCCTAGCCAAAAAATAATCATCTATCCCAAAGGTCAGAACCTGAGTTTCCGCAAGCCCCACCAATGTGGGCTAAAGTGCCCTTGGGTCCTAAATAAACTTGAAAGGCAGTCTAGGCCACAGGAACTTCAATTCCTGGCCGGGCGCGGTGGCTCACGCCTGTAATCCCAGCACTTTGGGAGGCCAATGCGGGTGGATCACGAGGTCAAGAGATTGAGACCATCCTGGTCAACATGGTGAAACCCCGTCTCTACTAAAAATACAAAAAATTAGCTGGGCATGGTGGTGCGTGCCTGTAATCCCAGCTACTGAGGAGGCTGAGGCAGGAGAATTGCCTGAACTCAGGAGGCGGAGGTTGTGGTGAGCCGCGCCATTGCACTCCAGCCTGGGTAATGAGACCGAAACTCCGTCTCGAAAAAAAAAAAGAACTTCAATTCCGTACAAGTGCTGGTGCTATGCTAGGCTCAGAGCCAGTGGACTTGGGGTACATGTAACCTAGCGAGATACCAGCAGGGGCAGCCAACAGACTGCTTGTGTCACCCTTCCTCCAAATCGCGGTAGCATAGTTCGCAGCTCCAGGAGACTCCTGCTTGAGTTAAGGAGGAGAAAGAGTAGAAAGGACGTTGTCTTGAAACAATGGTACCAGCCAACCCACGGTAAAATAAAACACCAAGCCAACTCCCAAAGTCCCTGATTCCAGGCCTTCTGCTCCTGGACAGCATTTCTAGACCTGCCCTGGGCCAGAAGGGAACCCTCCACCATAAAAGAAAAGACTTGCGCCTGGCAGGATTCACAAGCTAACTAAAGAGCCTTGGGCCTTGAATAAAACATCAGCAGTAGCCAGGCAATACTCTTACCGAGCCTTGGTGGTGATAACCAAGTAGACTCCTTCTGCTTAAGGAAAGGAAACAGACAAAAAGTACTTTGTCTTGCAACTTGGGTCTGAGCTCATCCACAGTAAAATAAAGCACCAAGTAGATTCCTTAAGTTCCCAATTCCAGGCCCCGGCATCTGCACAGCATTTCTAGACCCATCCTGGGCCACAAGGGAACCCTCCACCCTGAAGGGAAAAACACAAGTCCGGCTAGATTCACAACCTGCTGAATAAAGAGCCCCTGGGCCTTGAATAAACATCAGTGGCAGCCACTGATCAGTGGAGAGACCCAGTACTGTGCTGGCTTCAGTTCTAACCCAGCATCAACCCAGTGGTGGTGGTTGCAGGGGTACTTGTGTTACTCCCTCCCCTCAACTCCAGGTAGCTCAGCATGGAAAGATATGTCATTTGGGGGAAAATAAGGGAAGAGAACAAGAGACTGTACCTGGTAATCCAGGGAATTCTCCTGGCTATAACCCAAGACCACTAAGGGCATACAGCTATGAGTCTACAAGAGTCACAGAATTACTGGCTTGGGCTGCCCCCTAATGCAGATACGGCTACAGAGACCAAGAACTTAGATAACAATCAATCCCTTTTGAATACTTGGAAAGCTTTTTCTAGAAGGATGGGTATAAACAAGCCCAGACTGTGAAGATTACCATAAATACCTAATTCTTCAATGCCCAGACATCAACAAACATCCACAAGCATCAAGACGATCCAGGAAAACATGACCTCACCAAACAAACTAAATAAGGCATCAGTGACCAATTCTGGAGTGAC